CCCTGCCTCCCAAGTAGGTGGAATTACAGGTGCATGCCACCATGCCAGGCTAATTTTTTGTATTTTTAGTAGAGCCAGAATTTCACCATGTTGGCCAGGCTAGTCTTGAACTCCTGACCTTAGGTGATCTGCCCCCCCGTCGGCCTCCCAAAGAGCTGGGATTATAGGTGTGAGCCACCGCGTCCAGTAGGGCTTATAATTTATAATTTAGTAGAGAGAGAAGAGGGAAACATAGGAATATTAAACTATAGGTGCTCTAAGAAAGTGTAGTGATATTCGTTGTTTTTTGTTTTATTATTTATTGGCAGTCCTTGGTAGACAGAATGATACTTCTACAAATATGTCCATGTGTTAATCTCCTGAACCTATGAATATGTTGGTTGCCTTCCAGAAGGGACTGGATGATGTGAATAAGGATCTTAAAATGAAAATAGTATCTGGAATTATTCAGTTGGGACTAATGTAATCACAAGGGGCCTTCTAAAAGGAAGGCAGAGGTCAGAGTCAGAGCAGGCACTGTGACCACTCAAGCAGGGGCTGGAGTGATGCTGTGGCTGGAATGAAGCCAGGAGCCAAGGAATGTGGACAGTGTATAGAATCTGGGAAGAGTAAGGAACAGATCTACCCTCAGAGGCTGGGTGCAGTGGCTCAATCCTGTAATCCCAGCACTTTGGGACGCCAAGACCGGTGGATCACCTCAGGTCAGGAGTTCGAGAGCAGCCTGGCCAACATGGCAAAACCCTGTCTCTACTAAAATACAAAAATTAGCCAGCGTGGTGGTCCGTGCCCGTAATCCCAGCTAGTTGGGAAGCTGAGGCATGAGAATCGCTTGAACCCAGGAGGCGGAGACTGCAGTAAGCTGAGATGGTGCCACTGCACTCCAGTCTGGGTGAAAAAGTGAGACTCCGTCTGAAAAAAAAAAAAAAAAAAAAAGAATTCACCCTCAGAGCCTCTAGGAATGCAGTCCTGCCAACACCTTAATGTTAAGACCAGTCTCAGACTTCTGACCACCCGAACTGTAAGATCATAAACTTACAATAAACTTACGTTGTTTTAAGCCACTAGGTTTGTAATAATTAATTACAGCACTCATGGGAAACTAAAACAGCCATAATAACACATAATACTATTTGACACGAAGGGGTGATTGTACAAGAAGGCTTTCAGTTTATGTAAAAAAGCATTAAATGGAAACTTTAAAGTTGGACAGGATTTCCCATGGCCAGATGAGGAGGGAGGGTGCATTCTAAGCAATAAATTGTAGGTAATTCACCAAGTGAAAACATTTCTTGTATTTGGTCATTTTTTATAGAACTTATCCATCCATTAAACACATGGAGGGCAGGGCTTAGCAATGTGTGTCATGGTGACGAGGTTGCTGTCATCTACAACTCTCTCTGACGTCTAGGAAGGCCAGCTGTGCAATTTTTTTTTTTATGCTTCCTTTCAGTTGCTAGCATGGTTCCACCTCCTCACTCTGCCCCCATCTGTCTTAAGTTTAGGTCTGCAGATTTTCAAAGAGGCTGGAAGAAGCTGATGGTACCAAAGGGACCAAAACTTGGTCTACAAGATTCCCTGGTCATCTACAGAATGAATAAACTTCAGATAGGTAACTTTCACATCCAGTTCTCACAGCATCAGGTAATTCCTGAGTGCCTACCAGATAGCCACAATTCCTGTTTATAGTGTACTTGGGGGGAATACAGACATTAAAAAAATAGAAGTGTGATGAATTACTAAAGAAAAAGCTGGCCGGACATGGTGGCTCATGCCTGTAATCCCAGCAGTTTGGGAGGCCAAGGTGAGCGGATCGCTTGAGGCCAGGAGTTTGAGACCAGCCTGGTCCACATGGCAGAAACCCCATCTCTACAGAAAACACAAAAATTAGTCAGGCATGGTGGTACACGCCTATAATCCTGCTCCTTGGGAGACTGAGGCATGAGGATCACTTGAGCCTGGGAGGTGGAGGCTGCAGTGAGCCATGATTGCTCACTACTCTCCAGCTTGGGCGACACAGCAACACTCTGTCTCAAAAAGAAAAAGGAAAAGAAAAAGAAAAAAAAAAAGAAAAAGAAAAAAAAAGAAAAAAAAAAGCACAAGTTGCAATGTGAGTGTAGTAGAGAGGATGATGATTTGCCTCTGAATCTTTCAATCTTTAGGCCTCCTTTACTGTCAACTTCAACAAAGGGCAGCACAGATTTTTCCACAGATGATCTATACATTTTTATTTATTTTATTTTTATTTTTATTTTTTTTGAGATAGAGTCTTGCTCTGTCACCCAGGCTGGAGTGTAGTGATGCATCTTGGCTATTGGAACCTCTGCCTCCCAGGTTCAAGCCACCCTCCCATCTCATCACAGCCTCCCGAGTAGCTGGGACTACAGGCATGCACCACCATGCCTGGCTAAGTTTTAAATTTTTTGTAGAAATGGGGGTCTCACGTCATTGCCCAGGCTGGTCTGGAACTCCTGAGCTCAAACAATCCACCTGCCTCGGCCTCCCAAAGTGCTGGGATGACAGGCATAAGCCATGGTGCCTGGCCAATCTATGCAATACATTTTTAAATATATATGTTATAGAAATATATTACTGAACATTAAAAAAATAGAAAATAAAGCTATCCATAGGCTACTATTCTAGCATACCCTGCAAAATCCCTTTGAAGTTTTACTGTGTAATATAAAATAGGTATCATTTATTGCAACCATGTGCAATGCACTGTGCTAAGAATCTTCTATACATAATCTTATTTAGTCCTTGTAACAATTCTGTGATGTAGATATTATACCGTTTTCTCCATTTTACATGCACAACTTGAAGATATTGCTAGTTTAGTTCCAGACCACTGCAATATTGCTAATATTGTAATAAAGTGAGTCACACAAAGTTTTTGGTTTCCCAGTGCATATAAAAGTTATGTTTCTACTATACTGCAGTCTATTTAGTGTCAAGGCTGGGTACAGTTGCTCATGCCTGAAATCCCAGCACTTTGGGAGGCCTAGGTGGGCAGATTGCTTGAGACCAGGAGTTCAACACCAGCCAGGGCAACATGGCGAAATCCCGTCTTTACAAAACATACAAAAAAAATTAGCCATGTGTGGTGGCGCACGCCTGTAGTCCCAGCTACTCAGGAGGTTGAGGTGAGAGGATAGCTTGAGCTGGGAGGTTGAGGCTGCAGTGAGCCGTAACTGCGCCACTGCACTCCAGCCTGGGTGACAGAGTGAGACCCTGTCTCAAAACAAACAAACAAAACTTTACTGCTAAAAAATGCTAAGGATCATCTGAGCTGTCAGTGAATCGTCATCTTTTTGCTGGCAGAGGGTCTTGCCTTAATGTTAATGGTTGCTGACTGATCAGAGTGGTGGATGCTAAAGTTTGCTGTAGCTGTGGCAATTTCTTAAAATAAGACAACAATGAAATCTGCCACATGGATTGACTCTTCCTTTCATGAGAGTTTTCCCTGTGACATGCAGTGCTGTTTAGCATTTTACCCACAAAAGAACTTTCAGATTTGAATTTCTTTCAAAATTAGAGTCAATCCTGTCAAACGCTGCTTCTGTTTTATCAACAGTTCCGTAGTTTATGGAATATTCTAAATCCTTTGTTGTCAATCAACGGTGTTCACAGCATCTTCACCAGGAGTAGTTTCCATCTCAAGAAACCACTTTCTTTGCTGATCCAAGAAGCAACTCCTTGCCCATTAAAGCTTTGTCTTGAGATTGCAGCAATTCAGTCACATCTGCAGGCTCCACTTCTAATTCTAGTTCTCTTGCTATTTCCACCACATCTGCAGTTGTGTCCTCAACTCAAGCCTTGAACCCTTGTGGGAAAAGACTTGTTGCCAGAGCAGTCAGAATACACAAAACATTGGAGTTTGCTGTTTTACATGGGGGTGGTTAGTAGCACCCCAAAACAATCTGATGTTACTATGTAACATCAAAGATCCCTAATCATAGACCACTGGAACAGATATAATAGTATTAAAAAAGTTAAAGTATTGTGAGAATTATCAAAATGTGACACAGAGACACAAAGTGAGTACATGCTGTTAGAAAAAAAGAACTGACAGACTTGCTAACCCAGGGTTGCCACGAGCCTTCAATTTATTAAAAACAAAAACAAAAACAAAACCGCAGTAAAATGAGGTGTGGGTGAATAACAAGAAAACTGAGGTTTGCAGACATCATACAGCTAGCTAGTAACAGCTGGGATTCAAAGCACCTCTGACTTTACAACCACTAATTTTATTTATTTTATTTTGAGGCAGGGTCTCGCTCTGTCGCCCAGGCTGGAGTGCAGTGGCACGATCACAGTTCACTGCAGCCTCGACCTCCTGG